GATTCACGCACTGATATTTAAATTCGAGCCACCCAGCTTGACGCAAATCAATATAGTTACTTGTCATGTGTTCAAAAAATCTTTCAACTTTCACAAATACCATGAACGCGAAGAGCTAACTGGGCGTTAACTGAAAGAGAACGTCTTTATTGGAGAAAAAACACGTCAGTACAAGATTATGTGTACAAGGTTAGCTTTATAGAACGTACATGACGTAATGTACGTAAATCGATATAGTTACTTGTCATGTGTTCAAAAAATCTTTCAACTCTCACAAATACCATGAACGCGAAGAGCTAACTGGGGGTTAACTGAAAGAGAACGTCTTTTTTGGAGAAAAAACACGTCAGTACAAGATTATGTGTACAAGGTTAGCTTTATAGAACGTACATGATCGCTTAACTCTGTGTTTTTTAATAATCATGTCGCATGTGAAACGCAGGAGACATTTTAGTTCGTCCATTTCTCGTTTACCGACATTTTGTCTGGAATGCGATACAGACAAAGATTAAACATTACTGATAACAACCAAGAGGCTCGAACCAGGAAGGCTTGGATATTTTAAACTTCGTAAATAACATTCTTTTCAAGCGTAGACTTTATTCGAGTGTAATAATACGCAACAACAATTCGTTTACAGCATTGGTTTTATTGAAGTTTTTAATGCTTTTCGGCTTCACAGTGAATTATTTTAGCGTCATATTTGAAATAGCGCGCTCGATACAAGATGTCGGACGGGAAAATTGGGGTCTGTAAAAATGTTTGTTGGTTCAGTCAGGCAATGTGTGGACCAAAACATCGCCCACTATTTGAAACATCGCCCATGGGCGGGGTTTAGGATGGGCGGGGTATCAGCCGAATCCGGTATATACCTGGTAGTCTAAGAACATCAATAGCAATTGAATCGAATTAACCAATCAATGAGTACAGTGCACAATGTCACTTGAAAACATCGGCCTATAAAAACTATCGGGGTATACTCGTTTCAGTTTGAATTGTAAAATTTATTAAGATGAAGGGAAAGTCTTTGTTGTGCTGAGAGTGTGCAAGCAGGAGTCATTTAATTGAAAAACTTGTTAATACAGCAAACATTCCGCTACATGGGAAATTGCTGTACAACATGAAAGAAAGTATGACCTTTAAGGGTTGGACCATTTGATTTTGGAGGGGGGAGGTCAGCTCAGTGAAAGGCAATTTTTTTTTTTTTTTTTTTTATGTGTTTGGAAATTTTTTTTTTATTAGTAGGTTTGCTTGCAAATTTTTTTTTTAGGAGTTCATCATATCCAACATTTTTTTTTCATTATCTTCAACGGTGGTAGAAAAGACTTGCTATTTTACTGCTATTTTACGTTTTTTTGACAAAGTGGCCTCAATTTCGACAAATTTGATCAAATCTCAAGACAAAACAGTCATTTTGGTACAAATTTTGAAAAAAAATATGACGTGCACGTGTAACACAATATACATGATCATCATATAAAGTTTGATTGAAATCGCCCTATTCAGCTTCGGGAAATACCGTAGTTCCAGACGCGTTACAAACTGTGAATTTAAGATATTAAACAAAATGGCTGCCATTTTGACAAATTTGATCAAATCTCAAGACAAAACAGTCGGCCATTTTGGTACAAATTTTGAAAAAAAATATGACGTGCACGTGTAACCCAATATACATGATCATCATATAAAGTTT